TCACTCCCTCCCTCCCTCCCTCCCTCCCTCCCTATTCTTTCCTTCCTCTCTTCCTCCCTCTTTCTCTTTCTCCCTCCCTCCCTCTTTTTTCTTTCTTTCCCTTTCTCTCTCTTTCCCTCCCTCCCTATTCCTTCCTTTCTCCCTCCCTCCCTGCCCTGGAGCAGAAAGGGCACCTGGTCAATCACACACAGGATTTCCCCCTTTCTCTGACCTCTCCTCCCTCTCCCTGTCTGTGCTACAGGGCTGACCCACGTCGAGGCCACTGTCAACGCCCTGATAGACATTCTCCACGGATACTGCATCTGCGAGCTGGACTGCATCAACGTCGCCTCCAAAATCTACATGCAGATGTTGCTGTGCCCGGTAGGTTGTTCCGTGGCTGCGTCTCTTGGGGTCCGTCCCCAAACAACCAGGGCACCCTCCGTGTGTCTTTGCAGGAGGGCAGAGCGTGCCCCCCTCCTCCCCACTCAGCGGGGAGGCTGACCGAGGACCCCAGAGGGAGCAAGCAGGAGAGGCCCTGGCTTGTCTCTTGCTCCCTCGGCTGTTGGTTAGCTGTGGTGGGGAGCATCCAAACCATGTGGGAATCGGCAGCCTGGTAACAATCTCACCCGTAGGAGGAAAAGTAGGGTAGGAAGGACCGTCTCCTCCTCCTCCTCCTCCTGCAGCGCCCAAAAGAAGGGAGGCCCAAAGCTCTGAGAACTCCGCGGTCTCTGCTAGTCAAACCCTCCTGTGGCTGCATGGCCCGCATTCCCTGCTGGGTGTCAGCTCCCATAATCCCCAACCAGAAAGCCGCCAATCTGAGCCGGACGGAACCGCTGCTCGCTCCTTCCTGTTTATTCAGAGTTTTTGCAGTGTTAAATTCAGCGCCAGAAAAATAAACACAGGTGGCTGAGGCTTCATTTAACGTCTTTATAAACAGACGAAGTAAATTTTACAATACCAGTTGTAGATTTCTCCCAACATGGAGCAAACTCAAGACAGAAACACGTTGCAAGTTCAGAGCAGAGCTCCGGTCTTCAGCAAGCAAGTTAGTTTCCCTTTTACTTCAGTTCTGCAGGCAAGTAAGAGGAGAGAAGCGGTTTCATCTTCAATAGACAGACTCAGAGCCTCACAGAGCTGCAGAGTTGCAGAGCTGAAGAAAGAGCCACGCCTAGGCTGCTTCTAGTTTCAGTTTCCAAACTGCCCTCATTGTCTGACTTAGTCGCTATGCCTATTGGCTGACCTTGTGACCAAGCTCTGTTCCAGGTCATGAATATACTCTGACACCGTTTGCCCTCCGTCGTCCAGGCAAGGAAGAGCCAAACCTCTTAGGCTGCACCTGTGAACCAACCCAAAGTTTAGCTAGGTCTGAAGAGCGTGTGAATGCGGCTAAGAGATCCCTCCGGAGGGCTGTCCCTCTGATCTTTTCGGGCAGAGAACCTGAAGCCGGTCCCCCTTGAGAGTTCGTTCCTGGCCCCTCCCCAGGCTCCCAGGCCGTGTCTCCCCTCCCCTCCCTGACACTTTTCTGATTGGCTGCTTTGCCTTCCAGGATCCGGCGGTCAGCTTCTCTTGCAAGCAAGCGCTGATCCGGGTGCTGAGGCCCAGGAACAAGAGGAGGCACGTGACCTTGCCCTCTTCCCCTCGGAGCAACACCCCCATGGGTAAGGGGAGGCTCTCTGTTTCGGTCGCCCTGGGGCCAAGGGGAACCCCGGGGGAAGCCCCACCAGGGAGGGTGTCCCAGCCCCTGGAGGCCTCTGCCCTTTGAGGGGACCCCAAGGAGCACCTCTTCATCCTCGGGGGGGGGGTCACCTCCCCTTGGTGGGGCTGGAGAAGTTGCCTTGCCCCATGTGTTCTCTCTTTCTTTTTTCTCTTTCTCTCTCTTTCTTTCTCTTTCTCTTTCTCTCCCTCCCTCCCCCCTCTCTCTTTCTCTTCCTCTCTCCTCCTTCCCTCCCTCTTTCTTTCTCTTTCTCTCCCTCTGTCTCCCTCTCTTTCTTTCTCTCTCTTTCTGTTTCTTTTTTTCTCTTTCTCTTCCTCTCTCTTTTTCTTCTTCTTACTCTCCCTCCCTCCCTTTCTTTCTTTCTCTCTCTTTCTCTTCCTCTCTTTCTCTTGTTCTCTTTCTCTTTTTTC